GACGAGGGAGATGAAGTGTGATATTAAAAGTAATTTTATTGCTGTGCTATTGACTATTTATTGAACTGTTGACACACTTTTTCACATAAAACCTACAACCACGTATTGTCGGCGCATACAAAAAGTGACACATGTAGAAAATTGTTATTTTGCAGGACAGCGATTTTAATGGGGAAAGCAGTTTATGTACCGCGCAACGACAAAATGCTTCTCTGTATATACCGACTTTCCTGTAAACTATTTTTAGGAAACTTATTAGTACAAATATACAGGTTTCTAAACGTATTTCTTGACTTCAAGATTTTCCACATGTGTTCCTTTTCTTGAGCACCGGCGATTTATGTAAACAGAATAACCTTGTTACAGAGTTGTAGTGGCTTTGGCATGTGGATTCTAAAATTAATTAAATTCACATACTTAATAGCATTATTGATATAATAATGTATTATTATATTAAATAACAGGCGATGATTCCAGTCATAAGTGAAACATTCTATTTTATCCACAGGCGTTTCCATCTCCCTTGCGAAATCCTCGTCGATGAGATCGAAACGTCTGTCCATGAAATATAATTTTTTACTTATGAGGGAATCGTCGCTTGTTATTTATTGTATTCATACAGTTATCCTTGAAATTTTAAATTTATTATTTTTTCTCCGATACATACGCGAAAAAGCCAGCAAATTCCATTTGCAGATCAGAGTTTCTGCATCTCGCTGCTTGCGAATTTATCGATAATCACAAAACCACACATGATATTCACTAAACCCAGAGGATGGCATGATTCTTGAAGAAAGGATTCTTTTTTGGAACCAGAGTGGGCATAGCAAGCAAGTCTGTTTATGCTTTTTCAAATCCTCATCATTAATTTACCTTTGTTTCATTTACCATCATCGTACTATTCTGATCTCGCCTACTTTCAGCCACGCGCCGAGTCACTGCATGATGTGATATGAATTCTTTGCGTTTTTTAATTACGTATATCACGTACTATTTGGACACTTCGAACAGTATACATTTCTGTTTTACCTATCTAAAGATAACTTTACATAGGCATTCAAAATTCTCTCAAAGCAACTTTACAAATTATCCAGAACCTTCTACGTCTTTCGAAAAAAAAAAATCAACAGCCTCGCATGCACAGTTAACTGTCTTCACAAAAGTAACAAACCGGGATGAATATTGAAAATCAGGTGTTAACTTTACGCCGCACAGATCAGACATTTGCACGACTCCGAATAGAACTGACGCAAGACGCAATTTACTTCGAAGTCGCCGCAACGGTCTCCTGGGATGCTCTGTGCATTCTGCATAGTTCGCCAAACCTATCAGTGCATGCGAATTATAAATTGGGCACGCGAGTAAACCTAATTTGAAACTGACGTACTAAATCGGATGCGATTAAAAATGAACAGTTGATCAGAGCGCGAGCAATATCTGCGAGCAGACAATACCTGCGAAGTGACATGTGATTCATCACCTCATCACAGACCAATCATCCCTAACTGTAACATACAAATGCCATCGGTGTTCCAGAGATCGTTAATGAAGGTGAAGTGGCGGACTGCAGAATAAACTGTGGGAAAATTTTATATATTTAAGAACTAATAGTACATGTAATTAGCAACATTATTACAATCATTTTCTGCATGTTTGGGTTAAATATTTTCAGTTTCTGAGATTCGTCAAGGGGTTACATATTTTGAACATTTTTCTGTACTTGTGGTCCTTTCCACAAGGATACAGATGGCCACTGCCTATTTTACAAATACTAGTTCGACATTGAGTACGTGGCTTCGATTACACAACTGTTCTCTAGATCGACAAATTCTAAAATAAGATTTCAAAGTGATTAGGACAGGTGTGGCTGTAGGGAAACGCTGGAGTTTCCGTGAAGCCTTTACGCATGACGACGGTTCCAAATTATTTTGTAAACACCCGATAAGCGTTGAAAGACGGGAAATAACGACGTTGGGGCACATCATTGCCTCATCTCAATGGTACGTGATTGTTAATCAGTGTGCCGCCCTCGACCATTATTAGCGTCTGCGACTGGTGCGCAACGCGTTCCCACTGCCAGCACCTACTCGGTTTTAGGGTAATGTGAATGACACATTTTCCATCTGTGGTAGTTAAGCTGGCCTTTGTTGCTCTCCTTCAATTCAGCTTGCCTCTGAATTTAAGATTTTGACATATGAGAGCTGTCTCATTCATAAGTCTTGAACCCTTTGTAAGTTTGGATACCAAGGGCTAGTTGGGCTTTTTGTCTTTCTCATTGTTCGGTAAAAGGTTTCTTCAGACTTATTAAACAAGAAATTATCGGTTTTACGCATGTTACTCAACTTGTATCACCTCAGACGAGACGAAAATACCGATAGTTTCTGTTTAATAGAATCAAGGCACTCACAAGGGAAGATGTTGGGTTCCCATGGGAAGACCATGCCTCTGCATTATTTTCTTCAGTTATTTTGTCAATTATTATTATTATTATTATTATTATTATTATTATTATTATTATTATTATTATTATTATTATCATCATCATTATTATGTATATTGACTTGGAAGACACGCTGTTCCCCTCCGTCGTAACTTTGCTTTCTCAGTTTCGAACGTTCCCGCCGGCTTCCGTGGCATTTGTCGAAAAGTTTCAATTCTCGCATCTAATTGGTTTTCTCATGGAACAGACATACTTCTCCTTAACCACGGTGAGTCAAACGACCGAATAGAGGCAGTTCGCTGGAGTAACAGGTGACTCGCTTCCTCTGTTCCCATTTATTTATATACCACCAAAAAGGTTAAATCTCCGTGCGACATACTATGGGAGAGAAGTGCAATTCAAGTCCGCGACCGCGGCCTTCTCGGAATATCTCTCATTCATCCATCTCAACCGCAATGCGAACATCGATCTCTCCTGCGAGTAGCGACGCAATCTTCAGCATGTAGAGTCCCAGAGTAGAGTTGTTAAATTCAACAATTCGGGTAGACTGCCAGCGGTGGGCTGTTGCAGTTGCCCGCGTGCTCTTCACCTTAACTAGACAAAACCGATCGACCAAGCGTCTGCCTTCCCCACCCGTTGGGGCAAGCCACGCCAAGTGCACCGCCCCCTTCAGAAGCCCTGCTCTAGGGCAACGCAACGCGTAACGTGTGATCAGATCTCTAGACCACTTTCATAAAACAGGTTTAGATACGTAAAACTGGCATTTAATAACACAAGAAGGAACTTTTTGTCGGTAACACATGTCGGTAAGTCATGGAATGAAAAATTTGTGGATTGCTTTTATTAATGATATATTCTGATGTGCTATTTACATGCTTTCAAATATAAAACATTGAATCGTTTGGTGTGAAATAAGAATGTGATCCGCAGTACTACTTGCATACTACATGGGCATACACGATTTTCCTTTAATTTATTCACGTTATCAGAGAAATAGAGCAAGAAAGACTAAGGGAAAGATTAATTACACTGCGTAACAATTTTTTTAAAAAGAAGACCCACTTCAATTTTTCCTGAGTATTCATTCATAAATATAGCTTAATAAGAATAAATATGTCATTTGTTCCTATCACGTACAGTTTTTTTAGGGAGGATTACTAACAAATATTTGTAAAAACATTAAACGTAAACGTCCTGTATAGCCATTGCTTTACGTAATTGTCAATAATTCGAGTAAAAGCAGTGTCTAACGTATTAAAATACATTTGCATACTTTAAAATATACAATATATGGTTAAAATTATATATTGAACACAAAAAAATACATTTTTAAAACTTTTCCTTTGATATTGGAAAGTACCATCTCGCTTTAAACGCCAAAAGTAATTTCCTAACATAGATGCATCCCAATGACCTTGTAACCATTCTTCAAGCACTTTTACATTTTGATGAAACCGCTCTCCTTCTCCGTCATTCACATCTTCAAGATTTGCTCTAACATTTTTGAAGAAAATTTCAATTTAGAACAAGGTTTTACAGCTCTTTAATAAGCCTAAAATAATATTTCGGTTATACTATTAGGAAAGCGAAAAATTAAAAAAAAATGAATTTGGGGCAGCGATAGATGGCAGCTGGCCATTCTGTAGCACCACTTGTTTATGTTGGTTTAAGAATTTGCATAACAGCTTCACAGACAGAAAAATGTTAAAAAATCGCCCTTAATGGGAAAACGCAAAAAATGCTTTTTTAGGCTACTGAAAGTGGTTTTATTAAACTGAAATTTTAAAAGACAAAAATCTTATTACTGTACGTTCGTATGGGGAAAATGCACGAAATTCTCTGTCCTTTTTCTACCGCAAAATTTGCAATCTACCTCACACGTCTCTATGACCGATGTTTAAATACCTTTTAAAAACTTTTTCGAAATTCGAGATTCCTAAAAATTAAAATAGTATGACAAAAGGTAAAATAAGTGCTGACAAACGGTGTGTGCGCAACACGTAATTCAACTTATCGTGGTGCTTGGACCCTGCAAAGTTAACTCCAAGGAAGGCGGACGCACACTTATTCCCCTAATAAGCCATCCTCTTTCCTCAAGCACAAGTGTTGTTATCTCTGAAGGGTCTACAAACATCTAGAGGGTTCTCTTTCTTAACGTTGTGGGATCACAGTGGTTAGTGAAAACCAAGGAAGAGGGCCACTCTAATTAGAGTAGGCCAAAGTGCTACTTAGGTTTACACCGCTGGGTCATAGGGTTCAAATCTCAATCTATTCTCGTGGAAATTGCGGCGGAGAAAGCAATCTCGCTGCCAACAGCGTGCCCCGGTATATTTACGGTTTCCTAGACTCTCACTCTTTATTCTCAATGTCCATTACATCTTATGACTTATCTTCATCTTCATCATTATTAATAACAACATGAATGATGAGCAAAACAACATAAATATCCAAGGAAAAAGAAGGACCCGGGTGAAATCGCTTTTAAAGCTTCAACAAGCCGTATAGTTTTTGTGAATAATTGCTGTAGCATAAGATGGTGTTGCGATGCAGGGGTACTCACGTCACGCATGTTGAACGTGATCTCCAGGTTGCTGGAGAAGCTGTGCGCGAACTCCGGGTACAGCTCCAGCACGTCGAGCAGGTCGTCGCGGTGAATCTTGTGAAGATCACAGTACGTGAGGGCACGCACGTTGCACGACGACTTGCCCAACGTGGGGTGCAGGCACGGGTTCTCGCCGAAGATGTCGTCCTTGCCTGTGAAACACGACAGCGCGTCTTACCACCTCGCCTCGCCTCCCGCCTCGCTCTCCGCTGGAGGCAAACGAGGAAGCGATAATAAGCGTTCATTCAATAAATGAACGCCGGCGAAAAAACGATACATGTTACAACTTCTACCTCTTCTACCTTTGAAGCAATTATGAAAAAATGCATTATGGGGGAAATGACTGAAAATTGCAAATTAATTGTTCATTAATAGTGAATGAGTGTTAATCGTGAATGTCAAATACGGTCATGTAAATACCATGATTTTGACACAAGAATAAAATAATATATTGTAACATATGTCCCTTCGCACAAAATTTACATATAAAATAGTATAAAAAATTACAGTATTACATACATGTTACAGAAACCATGGCATTGGATGAACTAATGAGGAACAATGATTTACCAGTCGGCTAACAAATTTTCTTGCAAAAACATATTCTTTATAATCCATAGTTTTCAAAATGAAGAATTTAAAAATTTAAAGCGACTCCAATCTCAAACAAAATTTATTTTGTACGAATTGAATATTCACTTAATGCACCTTCGAATGACTTGGAAAAGGTTTTAAATCATTATGATGGGACTGAAACAATACAAATATAGATTTTGCAGCAATCAATGAATGCGTCAAAGATTATGTTATGACTTATAAAAAAGCTTTTACAAAAACTTCACGCGTGCGCTTGTTTCAAGAAGTCAGTTCAATAGTTGATAACAGAGTATTGATTGTTATTCATACATATTTATGATTAATACTTATTCCTAAATTCAAGTTCTACTAAATTTTCCGAAATCTTTTAGCGAATTTTAGCGAAAATCTGTTTTTTTATTGGCTATACATGTTGCTTCAGCCAGACAAATACTCATAAGGCCCATTAGTTTAAGGTACTTGCTGTGCAAAAATTAGTATTAGATAATCCTAGAGAAATACCTGGACAATTACAGCCCACATTTCTCAATGTGTAAAACGCTGTAAAATAAGACAAAATATTAATAGTAGTAATACAGTAATTTATAATGAATAGTAAAATATCGAACTTAAAGCAGGAAATATATTTTGTTCTCTGTTTTGTTAAAAACAAACGCTGTCTTGAGTAACGTTTATCATCCAGGCGAGTGATATCGGTTATTAAAAAACCAAAAATAGTCAGTCATGGAGACATGGTCACATTTGATATGAAATAAGATATCCTATTGATCCTGGTAACTGATGTGTTATATCCTGATGAGACCATTCTACTTTATGCTCATATCACATACGAGTCACTTGCATTTTTCGAACATCGTTTTAACAATATGTTGTTATTGAACATCTTTAACGTTGGCCAGAAAATTGATGATAACATTCTTAAATAAGTCCTTCAAATTAAAGTTCTACGCCAATAACTTTACTTCTAAACCAGTATCCTTAATTAGATGAATAAATGGACCATCGAAAATTTATTTTTCTATTTTTGTTACTGATTGCAAAGGGCATTTTTGAACACTATATTGAAAAGAGAAATCAGTTTTGTCCAAGAATTTAACGAATTGCTACATTATTCCACGTTGGATATCCAACGCGATTAGAAAAAAAAAATGAGTCAATTGTTAGAAAATTTATTACGTTTATGTCTAGGCACTAAGTACTTTTTTTTCAGCCAAGCAGTAACTTCCCAATGTATTTCTCTAGCTTTGGAAACATATTCACATATGAAGCATGATGATGAATTCTCCCTCTTGTCCCAAATAATATTTAGATAATTTTCTACACCCAAAGCGTCGTTATGAGTGCTATACTACGTAGTGATGAAGAAGTACAGCCAGACAAAGAATGGTTCCATCTTAAAGGTCTCCTTTAAACCAATTTCAGCGCAAGGTATTAAATTGTTTGTGTCAAATACATAATATCTCTATGTGGTACAATAGAAAAACTATCACTTTCAAAATTCGAACATTTGATATGAAATAAATAACTTGAAATATTTTGTTCCTACAAACCTTCGCAGACCTAGGAAATACACAACATTTTAGCCGCACAACTGTACTTCTAACACGTGAGTTTGTGTTCCGGATTATAACTACTTTTTTGTTTTTGAAAGTTCAGATGAGAGTAAAAGTAAAGGAGATTTGCAATATAAACGTGGAACAAAGGATAGTAGTACACTCTGTATACTATACACAAAAGAATAATAAAAACATTAATAACAGAAAAATTTTTAAAAATAAAATATTTTCTTGGGTACAAATACCTCGCGACTATGACTTGCTATAGAATGTTAAATTAGCAGCAGTTTATCTGTTATAATCTTCAGAAGCCAAACGTCCTTCGGTTGGCGCAGCTTACTCCAAATTGGATTTACATAGACGCATCAGCAATCTATTTCGCGTCTTAGCATTTGTGCATTATAATTAACAATTGGATCATAGGTGCCTGATATGTACAGGCAGAGGATTAATCCAGCTTTGCACTTAACGAGGTTTCCACAGCTGTCGCGCGTGGGTTTTAGGACGGGGTGAGGGCACAGACGGATTTTTAAAAAGCAATTCAAAAAGTAAAGTACCAGGACTACTCACGGACACATTGCATAATTAATAATTAATAACTCGTAATTGGAAAGGCAAAAGAACACATCACTTCTCATCACAGCTATCCTGTGTGTCTGAATATTTGTTACACCGGGGGTCAAAGGCATCTACTCATACGCCGGCATCCAAAAAGTCGAAATCATCGAAAAGGCAATAATTTTACACAATTTAATTCTTTCCACTGATGTTTGTAACCTTTTACTTTAACCTCCGCGGCCAATAAATGTGGCCGTTGTTTGTCAACATTTTTTGTTCATGAATTACTTAAATCAATCTTTTTATTAAGGTCCGAATAAACTTAGAATGTGATTGACGTTTCGTGGTCACGGAAAGATGCTAGCGCCTTTACCTACAGAACGGCTAATGAGAAGTTTCGGCATTTGCACATTGTTATCACCTAAAATTACGGAACAAATGTAACAAATGTTATGTACAAACTTTTCACAATTTTGTGAACATTTCTTTCTTCTGCTTGTCTAGTGCGTGTTGAGAGGAGGTGGTAGAGCGCGCAGTATGCAACAGAGCCTCCGCACCAAAATGTCTGAGTGATCATGAGAGTGATGACGATGACAGATGCATGATTCTGGATGATATGACATTCAGATGTGATACTTTGGGGCGTGAAAAATCAACCACAATTTTTCGACGAAAACACCTACGGCTTTTGAAGGCCTTTGTCTCCCGGGATTTGGAGACTATTTTGTTCAAAAACATAAAAAGAAGTTAAATGTATTAATTTTCTCTTTAATATTTTAAATTTATGGAAATTAGGAAATTAAAACATGTAGATACATCAGTTACAATGTAAAAAAATATCGCTCACTCCTCTATCGTCTCGTAAGATCAAATAACATTGCAAAATAAAGCGACTTAATAAATTTATGTAAAACATCATTGTTCACACTGATTTTCTAAATTTGTTGAATAGAACTTGAAAATATATAGGTTTTGCGCACAATGTTTTACGTAGGCCTAAATCAGGGGGTACTCAACGGAGTCGTTAACGACCCGTATGAATATATGATTTTCTAAAGGGGGTCAACAATGATCAAGGTTTCATTCGGGACAGGAGAGCCAAATGTGCACTGGCGACTGATCGGTATAATGAAGATACAATTGAGTTCAACAAATATTAATGATGTTGATAATTATTAGCTTTCTGATATTTAATATTTGTTCCTCTTACCTTCTCACCTAAAAATAATGCACGCCCTTTCTCCGACCCCGGATTTTAATATCATTCACATGAAAGAAAATCATACTTTAGTGCTATTAGAATCTGAGATTTTGATAGCACAACAGATGTAGATTTATCCGAATAAAATAAAATAATAAAACAATTCGAATACGTTTTCTAAAATTTTCGTTCATACTTGAGTACATTTTTATACGTCATTTATGTGTAATTATTTGGGCCAGGAATAGGTAGTATATAATAAAGCAAAACCTAAGGGGTCGATAGAGTAGATAATTTTAAAAACAAATGTTTTGGAAGAAAAAGGTTGGTAACCCCTGCCCCAGACCTCGCCGATGTATCAAGCGACAGGAGTTCACCGGCGGCGTCAGTAATCCACGCGGGCGGGAGGAAGGCAGGAGGGAGGGCTCACTCACCTAGGATGGCCATGACGATGTCGTCCTTGAGGATCTCGATGGAGCCGCGCGAGATGAAGTAGAGGCAGGTGAGCACGTCGCCGCGGTGCACCAGCGTGTCGCCCGGCGGTGCGTGCGTCGTCTTGAACTTGAGCGACAGCGCCCTGCGCACGCGCGACCGCACGCCAGTCAGTCAGCCACCCCCGCCTCCCCCCGCCGCGCCGCGCCGCGCCGCGACCTGCCTTAGGCCGGACTTCCGGCACGGGGCGGAATGCGGAATGCCTAAAAATACTCCGGGAAGGGGGGGGTGGTAATTTCTCAACTCTTTCAGATACTCTGAACATCCACAAGAGAAATTAATGGAAGAAAAATGTCCTTCAACTACGTCAGAGGCTTTGAAACTCTTTCAGATTCTTTCAAGTTTGGTCCCATAAACATTCTAAATTTTAATGTACTCTTTTTCACAGTTTAATATACGCCTTCGATGCAATAATGCAGAATTTGAATGTTGCATGGATAAACACGTTTAGTTACTAGCGCGATTTTATTTTACCAAAAACATAATAAATATTTACACGATTATTAAAAAAAGCGTTTGTAGTAAAATATTTTATACTCACATTCTAATAAATTACGAGAACGTGGAAAATTATGAAAGTGGAAAGTGGAAATTATGAAAGTGAATTGAGTTGAAAACACTTAGCTTGAAATAATAGTCATTTATTTTCTTTCTTTTAACATATCCTCAAAATAAATGTGACGTTTTCAGTGATTTGTCGCGACTAAAAGTAATCTTTATTTCTAAATCTTTATAAAATGTGCGTATGTCATCGTGATGTGTAGTATACAATATAAATACGTTTTACGAGAAATACAAGTAAACCATTTTAATCAAGAATATCTGTAAAGATTATATTCCACGATATTTTCTATAAATAAATTAATTTTGAGAAGTTTAGTTGTATTAATGAGTGCGAAGATGAACGTTTTTAAAGCTGACAATATTTTGGCGAATTTTACAAGACATACGATAGGGAATGGTTCGGTCTGCCCCACATATCTACTTGTTTCCTTGACATTCATACGTCCCGTAAGTGGAATTTTGCTAATAACGTGACCTCGTCTTTGGAACAAATGTCATTTGACGGAATAACGAAACCAATGCAACGAGTGAATAACATTAAAAAGTCACCAAGGAAGCGTCAGCGTTTACATAACATAGTGTAAACAAATAACGTGTATATTTTTATTCACGTAGTGTGTGATAAAATACATTAGTCCTCATATGGCGATGATATTGTGATTTCATTGACCCAGTATCAAAAACAAACCAAAGCAATTCATGGAGTAGATGACCCGCTTTAGTCGAGAAATAAGCGCACGATGTAGGAAAGTACAAACGCCTATTTCCTGTCGGCGTGATCTACTGATGATGACTGCTACCTTGACATCTGACGTAGACCGAGCGAGCACGATTCAGTGGCACGTGAGCGCGTGGAGCACAGCCAACATTCTAACGTGAATCTATCTTTAAGAAGAAATGTATGATTTGTGCAGGATGGTGATCCTCAATTCAGTTCACTTAACACTTCTAGTAAGTTTTTAAATAAACATTTAACAATAACTTCGTTTTGGTTGGCCGGCCAGACCCGTAACCTCGTGAAGTTTCATATTTAAATTTAGAAATCAAAGATTCAGAGATATGCCTAAAGACCTCCTTCGTAAAGAGAGCGGAAACCTCCTTAATTTGGGGTAGAAAGTATAAACTCTTGCCACAATTCATTTTATCTTTCGCAGAGTTTTTGTTTAAAAATATGAAACAGTACATGATAACGAAATATTCCCAAAGTATAATCAAGAAAAAACACTTAGTTCAACGCCAAAGTTATCTCCAAACAACGTTCCTTTATCCGATGTTCATGGCAATATGACTGGGTATTATTATCCTTCTTACAATTACCGGCATTTCTCCCTCATTAAGAATTAAATTAATTCTTAGGACATAAACAAATGTTTAAATTTCGTTGTTAGTGTTATCTACTGTACTGGTATAATTATTGTGAAAAATTATATTAATGATTACATAAAACAGAGTTTGATAACTTTATTCACGAGAAATTCTCTTGACAGAAACATTTGTAGGATTCTGTACTACAAGCTAAACTTCGGACAGCTCACATTAATATAGTACCTGGCACGAATGAAATGTGGAATATCTCTCCAGAGCAGATACTGGAAGCTTCTCTCTCTGCGGCTCACTACCGCAGCAGCAAGCTGGATAGGCTTCAAAAGCCGATTTTTCGTCGCACTTTGCGAGATTCTGCTCGGAAAATATCTCACAGGGTTAGATATTTGCAGCGCTTGCAATCTTGATTGTTAGCTGGCCGAAAATGATAATATACTCGCATAACTAGCGAGTGAATCATTTATTAAAGAGGTCCTCAAAACTCTAGTGCACGTATGTTCACGGGGTAGCGCGTGCTAGATTCGTAAAAGCAACGTGGCATTTTTTATTGAAAAGTTTGAAGAAACAATTAACTGCTTAAATGAAAAACTGGAAAAGAAATCTGTGTTATCTGCGAATATACCCGAATACTTTCTATGCTATGTTGTGAGATATCTTCACGAATTTTTTTAGTGAGTTCATTACTACATACATCGATTTGTCTTCAATACGTGTATGCACGGCCACTTGGAACAATCAAATACCGCAATCTCTCGGCAAACAATTTCACCTCCACGGAGATAATGATTACAATTTTGGATAGTCTCTGATTTGTTGCTTTGGTCCCAATTTGTGCACACTATTGGTGTATATTTCATGCAAGGAATAGTCATGATTAATACTTGAAAATAAATTAATTTTAGTTTGTGAAATATATTTCATTAATAAATAATGGTGTTTGCAAGGCTTCGGCCGGCTCCACTTACGGGTCACTTAACGTACACTTAAGCGTTTGCGCCGTTTCCCTGCGACAGCGAGATCGAACATGGTAAAAATGAAATATTTTAGTACAATTAAGATCAGGTACACTATTCATCATAAAAGAGGGAAATCCACGAAATACGTTATTCGGCGCCCGTCTCGTGCTATTCAATTTTAGAAGTCTCTCCAAATGTATAACGATCATTGTATAATCATTGTATTCCTCACCTTGAGGACTTAAATATGCCTCTGGAGAAATGAATACTTCAATTTACGAAACGGTCAAAACATTTCGAAAATTTCAAATGTTAGAAACAAGGAAACTAAATATGTTATTATCCCCTTCAAGTAGAAAATCGTGGCGCAAACCGCACTCCGATACCTCACTCCTCATCAAGATATTTCTGTGGCAAACTTAGATGCCTCATTCGATGTGCAGGACTCCGACAGTCTACGAGCCAACTCCATAACATCGATTCACGATATCGAAATGCGATATATAAGTAATAGAAGTTTACAAGTAAGGTTGGTACTTCATAATTGGTGGAACACAGTAGTTAAACAAAAAATAATCATTGATAATGCAAGAAACACAGCTAATATCACTAGAACATTCATTCAATTCCACATACATGCATACAATAATACATTCAATAATTATTAATAATACGTCGTATGGTGGAAGAAAAAATCGAATATTTTAATCTAATAAATCTAAAACTTTGTATGTAGTGGAGACGTCCGAGTGATCTCACCGCAAGCAGCCGGGAGAGGCGCCCTCGAAGGCCGAGCAGTTGGTGAGCAGGTTGCGGTTGAGGTGCAGGCAAATGTCGGCCTGCAGGCACTCCGGGAAGCCCTTGAGCACGCTGTTCATGTCGATGCCGTTGGTGTAGGTCCACGCGTGCTGCACCACAACCAGCGTTTCATATGACCACCCCTAGAATTTGCTAACCTAAAACTGAGTTATTTAAAGTTTTATATTCCCAATTAGACTTGCGAATGTTGTAAATAGTTTTGTTGCAATTCTTTTTTTTTTTTTTTTACAATTCATATTCTATATTTTTCAGATTGCAAATATATACTTTCTTCTAAACTTACCCGTATAGGTTTGACCTAGAATGTTGAAATTATTGCCGATTGTTACATTTTTCGGCAAGAAAGAATGCACGAAATTCTTCCTATTGAACGTAACGTCAGTTCTCAGTGCGAGGCCATGTAGTCGAACAAGCATATTTATATGGAACAATATGCACAGATAGTACTAATTCATTTCAGTTACACAACTTTCCCGTGGATAATGAGATGAACAGTTTCCACAACGATCAATACACCGAATGTACCGTTTCTTCTACGTTACTCCTTCATTTAAGACTTTTACTGTCTCCTGCGTAGAATCAGTGGATTATGAATCTTTCTTTGTTCCTAACCCTTGTTCTGATAAAGCACAACAACGCCCAGAGCACGACATGAACTGTAAGGCCAGGAATGGATCAATTAATCGCGCGAAACAGGAGCATAGACATTCTGCAGAAGGTAGAACTGTAGAAACCAACTACCTTACAATTTAAAATAATTAGCGACACGTGCTTCAAATAATTCACCAATCTCTTCTAAAAATGGATTTTGTAAAAATCTAATGGCTGGATTGTTTCCTACAATGACAAGACAGATTGACGAGAAGAAAGAACGGACAGAGAAACAGTCTATCAATAAATAGTAACAACACGTTTTCAAAATTTCGCAAACGCCTACTTCCATCAATCTCTCTTTTTAAACCTATTAAAAATGTCCGATAGTTTGCAGAAGCAGACAAGTACAACATAACCATCTTAAATGGAATGAAGGGAGAGTATCCTTGGTAAGAATCTTCCACCTTTTCAAACCCCACATCTCTCTCTTCTTTCGTCCGCTTATCGGAAGTCCTATCAATGATGATCGTCATAAAATAATCGACCTCTAATCGAAGAAAAGTCTGTCAATCTACCTGAAAACTCGGAAGATGGAAGTTTCGAATTGTGAAAATAGTTGGAATGCCCATTCTTCAACAAACATATTAGTTTTCGTGATACTAAATATTCGTGTCATTATCCAACATATTTGAATGCAGTGCAAATATATTTCTTTTCTCTTGTGCCTACTTTAACCTAGTGTTTAGCTTATTTAATTGTGTAACAGAAAATGAAAATAATTCGCCGAAATTTAAACCATATTAAAACTTGCAACGACCACTGGCAACTTAAGTATTCTACCACTAACACACGGTAGGTTACATTTCATTTCCTTGAGAATTAAAATCGAACAATTTGAAAGAATACCTTTAAAATTTAATTTTACTGCACCTTTCATTGAAAAATAGAAGTATATTTGATTGAAAACATGGTTTCTTGAGAAAGTGGGATACAAATAGATCCACACCAAAAAGATCGAATTGATTCGTCCCACTCTAAGCCCGCCGCCAAATAACAGTGAGCTCGGCCTACGCCACAAGCAACGAAGAGGAGATGACAGAAGCGAGTACATCTGAAAAACCGAAACCATCGATTCCATCGATTACTCTTCCCTGTCAACGCCGCTCTGTTCTGCGCGAACGCAATTATACGTGGGCGAAATACGTCCGCGTCAGGCAACCCACCAGCCGGCGAGCCACCTGGCCGGATCAGGGCCAATCAACTCCCCGTTGGCACTGTGGGCAAAACTACAGGGTGTAATGATAGGACTTTAGTGACGCCCGGTGCGGCTTTGTGTAACGTTCACCAAATTACCAAGACAGACGCTTGTCGCGATTGTATACGAAAGAAACCCGAATCAAGTATTTATAACGATGGTTGGTGTATGAAGAGAACGTGATAGTGAAATGAGTGAACATCAGCGCGATTTGCCGCCGGGCGCGTCAGCCCACGTGCCGTTTCGATTTACGTGGGCAGCGGTCTTCCTGGTAGTCGCGAAAAGGTGTCCTGGCCGAGCGCACCACTGCCCGCGGGAGCGAAAGGGCCCTGAGCCGGCCGGCGGCGCGGTCGTGGTCGTCGGCGCCGGGCGCGGCCGCACCGCTCTGCTGGGACGGCGACCGAGCTCGCGGGAATCGGGCGGCCCCGTGTACCTGGAAGTACTCCTCGAGGCGCTGCCGCAGGGGGTTGGGGATCTGGTGGAAGCGGATGAACTCGCGCACGCGCTGCATCTGCGTGTGGTAGCGCGCCGTGCCCGAGTATAGGCGCTGGATGATGGCGCTCACGTTGCCGAAGATGCTGGCGTACATGAGGGCTGCAACCGTACCCCGGACGTTACCACAACCAATGCACGCACGAACTTCGCGTGCATTCCGTGCAAATGTACAAAATTTTGACTTCCCAGTCCCTTTTGTCTCTTAACTTGGCTTTTTTTTTGGGTTTTGTTTTTATCCAGCGCAAGCCCGTTGCCCGTAAAACTCCCTCAAGAGAGGCATGCCCAGCGATTCGCACTTCAATGATCTCGGCGGGCGACTCTTGGCGCCCACGGGCTCCCGGGCAACCCGGAGCGCAGTGGGAGCGAAGGATGTTGTCCGGAGAGTGAACAGCGGGTGAAAAGGTAGCGATCGTAGGATTGTGACGCACACTCAGATGGTGGGCTGGAACAAAGTACCGCGTGCTGACGGGATGAATTTTCAGAAGGATGTTTGGAGTTAGTGCGGATATCGGGTAACGGGTGGCACGTGTCGGGCTGGAGGAAAGCGGTGCCGTCTGCGGACGGGCAGTCGTCTGCCGTGTGCCAGTGAGTGCGACTCGCCCGCCCGTGTGCGCGCCGCTGGGCCTGCCTGCCCAAGAGGTGTTCCTCGAGCCATCCACTAGACACTAACTCACATGCGGGCTCCTCTGCTGAGGGGTTAACACAATGCGATGTCACGAACATGGGAAAGAGAAGGGAAAACATTCCATGCCATCAGCGGCGTTCAAACCCGCGATCCTTCGGGTAGACGCGGCTAATTGCTAAACGCTCTAACCGCCGGAACTAATTTGTCTTGTAAAATGTTGAAATAGAGTGAGTGATTTGTGTGGTGAGGCGGAAGAGCAGGTCTTGTAGTTTGAGTCTCACACTAATAAAGTAGCTGTTATTTATTTCACGCTACACACGACCGTGTGGTCTTCAATCCAAACTCTAAACTGTGCTATTATCACATTTCCAAAACTGATATAAATACATTTTAAAATGAAATATACGTACTACATGTAAAATAATTTTCTAAAAAGACAGATCTGTATATAAAGTGTTTTAAAGATTTTGTACATTTTGTGAGGTCGTTTAGCAAAGTTGACTGCAACTATTTGAATTATTCGCATATTACCTACCATATATTTACCACTCATCGATATACTGAATTAACGACCATCACATATCAAACATCTTGTACATTATATAAAATACAATCCACATAATTTTGTCACAGCACTTTAACATCACTTCTTAACCGAAGGGTAGTTAGTAGGTAGTACGAAGACGACTCGTAGTTTGCCAGCAAGTTGCTTGCCTTCTACCTTTGGGATTGCTCGATTCGTGGGACCCGGTCGATTCATGTGGGATTTGAGATAATTAGAATAGTAACTTGGAAGATTTTAATTGAATTGTCGTTAATCGTAACCTTCCAGGACTATTGTCTTCGATCGGGAAGAATATTTTAAAAAATGAATTATGAAATAAAGGTACAACAGAAAAAAGTCAATTACTTCTTGTACGATAGACCTTAAAATTTCAAATTATATAATTTAAATTTTGCACTTTTCATGTGATTCGTATGTTTCCCCTGTCCTACATCCTACCACAGCTTCATTATCGTTCATTGCACATTTACCCCCATATGTATAATCCTTTCTTTCTTTCGTCATTGGAAGTCATTCATCCTTATAAATTCTCAGCGAATCTGAGGGGCGAATTATTACTCTTCGGAATGCCAACTTGTCATTCTCTAACCGCTGTATTTTCTCAGCGGAAACTTCGTTCACTTGGAATAGTCATTTTTCTCGTAGTCGCAGAATTTTTCAGTATTTTTGTATTAACTAATATTAGTACTACATCTTACTCTACCCTAATGTACAATATAATCATGTGACTAAGAGCTTTCGTACAAACAATTTCTAACGTGTGCTAGATTATTCGTTTCAGATCAGAGTGTCCCTTTGTGTCGCAAAAGTAAAACCTCAATGTTTTAGGAATTAGAAATTTTCTTCGAGGTCACTGAACACTACAATAGATATCCGAATTAATTATGAATGTTAAACATACATTACATTGATCGCAATATTTCTGGCATAAGGTATTCTCCCGAAGTAGAGATTAACTAAATAGAGTACCCAAATATTTACCCTGCACAGAACGTGATAGTAAAATATCATATGATAAGATATGTTCAGTAGTTGTCATAATATACTTATATAGTCGAAGAACGTTTCAAGAATATCCTGCGCTGCCTTGTAGCATAGGACGCCGGGTCATCAATTTTTGAACAACCGAGTTCCCAGCACTCTACTGGCATAGCTGCAGCAGACAGTACAAATCTTAGACGTCTTATATTCATACCTAGTTGGTATATGGCGTGAAAAATCTATATCCGGAGTTTTCGGGTGTGTAGACTACGAGAAATAGCTGATTACAAGAAATTTCTTTTCGAAGTCGAATCTCAAAAATAAAATAACAGTCAATAATGGGCCAGGGTACAATTCTCGCTTGCTAGTAGCTTAACAACGTTTTTCGTGAAGATTTTTGTTTCTATGCTTACATGATTAGTCCAGTTTTCGTCTTGTTGGAAGTGTCATGCACGGAAGTATATAATGTACCTTTTTACTCATTTCGGGCACGTAAAACTATTTTCCTGTGACAGTGTTTTGGCGATTGTTACGATTTAGTTTTAGTTTAGCTGGCACGCATCCCAGGAGCGATAGATGAAGATATCAGGGCAATACATGATGTGGAGAATGAAAATGAAGACGGAGCAAATGCTGGAATGCAAGACAGCGGAAACGAGTCCCCCCAATAGCTGCCCTCAAATCCATTGCATTCACTACACATTCCACATGGATCGACCGGGATGAGCACTGCGGGCCCAGAAGTGGAGTCAGCGTGCTCGGACCGCCGCACCACGGGTCGCCTTTTGGGGAGAGATGAGATAACGAGAGAAATCGGGCAGCGGCGCTTCGCAGGCACTCACAGCCCACCAGCATGACGCAGATGGTGAAGATCTTCTCCGCGTCTGTGTTGGGCGCCACGTTGCCAAAGCCCACCGACGTCAGGCTGCTGAACGTGAAGTAGAGCGACGTGATGTACTTGGACTGCAACGGAGAAGCGGCGCTGCGGCGGTGCTGCAGACGCGGGCGCGGCGCAGGCGCGGGGGTGGATGGAGGACGGCCGAGCGGCGGGAATCGACGGAAGGAAAGAGCGGCGGGAGGGGGAAGCGGGGGGAGAGACGGGCGGGTCCGAAGGGCGGCGCCGGCAGGGCACCGCGCCAGAGCTGGGGGAACTTCCTCCAAACGCCGGGGCCGGCGCGCGCCTGGGCGTCCGAAGTCGCGAGCGGACGCAGCTCCAACCGCAGCCCCGCAGCAGATGGACGAGGGCCGGCGCCCCGGCCGGTGCGGCGCGACGCTCTGCCGGCGCCCCGCCTCCGCCTCCGCCCACGTCTCGGCCTCGACCTCGGCTTCGGCCTCCGCCATCGCGGAAACGTCGCTCCCTGCGGAGGCTTCTCATTCTCCGCTTCTCACGAGATCACGCGCACTATTCCACGTGATTTAAATGGCGCGCCAAGTTGGAACTATGGTAATTACATAGATTCAATGCCTTGGATGCACCAGATGCGCCGTCAACTTGGCTTTACTTACTCAATGGTAAGGAGTGTACTCACTCAATGGTCAACGGTAGTCACTCTGTTGTATCAAACGTTCTGAGTGTGAATAAAACCATACAAAATGAATAGTAACGCATCTCTGTTCATGAGTATCAGTGAGAATAAATCAATGCCTGGCATGTGCCGGAGAGGGCGAATGCAAAGCGGAGGCCCCCGGGCGGGCGCGGGGCGGGGCGGGTGCCCCTCTCGGCCCCACGAGGGCTCGAGCTTGAAGCCTCGGGGGCGGAGGAGGCGCGTTGGCGGGAGGCGAAGCGGGGTGGGGCAATCGGGGCAGGGAGGCCGACGCAGGACGGCGACTTGCGGCGCATACGTCTAGAGGTTCAAAGGACGACTCGAGAAAACAAAACAAGGAGATTATAAAATACAAAGAAATATAGACGGGAGAATAACGTGATGGAAAAAGGTTTTGGAAAGACGTGATGGCGAGCGAATAACGGGTGCTTGAAAAGAGATGGCATATGTGGCGACAGAATCTGCAAGGCAAGATCACGAAAAGGTGCAAAGGCGAGTGATGGGACGAGGGGACGAGAGGGTAAGGGGCCGAGAGGGCGAGGGGACGAGAGGGCGAGGGGACGAGAGGGCGAGGG